CTTATTTCCAGTGGGCTTCAATAACTGCTTCTGAGTCTGAATCACCACATTTTGGAAAATCCTGGAAACACCCATACAAACTCAGCTAAACTCCAGAAAAGTTGCAGTTCAGTTTTATTTATATAGCACCAAATCACAAATGAAGTTGTCTTAAGGTGTTTTATATTGTAAGGTAAAGACCCTACAATAATACAGAGACAACCCAAACAATCAAATGACCCCTTATGAGCAAGCACTGAGAGAAAGTGGGAAGGAAAAACTCCCTTTTAACAGGAAGCAACCTCCAGCAGAACCAGGCTCAGGGACGGGCAGAAAGAACTTCCATTAGGATCATTAGGAAGAAATGTGGTGGTCGAGCACAAATGTTGTAGTATTTATTACATGCATCGCTGGACTTTGGAAGTAGGTGAAGTTGTTAAACTTCTACGTTGCTACCATTCCCTCACCTGCCAGGAGTTAAAGGGCTCCAGCTTGATGGAGGCCAGCGTACACAAGCCTGCAGCGAAGCACATCCATTTACTTTTGAATATAGCCACGCTGTATAGTATGATGCAATGAGAAAGAACCAGAGCCAAGAAAGTCCAGCCCATCGTTACCAGGACTGCCAAACCTCCATACACCCCAAAGACCAAGGATCTGTGCTGTGGATAAGAAGGAGCCAGAATTAGTCAAGATATCAGGATATAGTTCAGAATTCAGGAACACACATGAAGAGTGGTGTTAGTATAATAACACTCATGACACTGCAAAAAATTAAAATACCTAAGGATGGGAAGATTAAATTACAGGGCAATGAAAACAAATCTACAGTCCACATATGCACAATTTAAATGAAATGCATGGCAAATGTTGTGAAATTCTAAGATCTTTTAATGTTACCTTACATCCATTTATACCAATCTTCATTGTAAACATGAAACAAGACAGAAAACATGTTTAAAACATGATGAACTGTTTTAAATATGTCCAGATATTCACAGCAGAGACGCAACAGATGGGAACTTGGTATCAAAGAAAGCAGCTCATGCTGTGTTGAGTCAATCTGTCAGGCCTTGAGGTTCAAATAAAAGCCACGAGAAACATTTTTGTTCTGGAACAGAAAAACATCTCATTGAATAAAAATGGAATAAAACTACATTTAATTAATCACTTCAAGGCCTTCTGTTCACATCAGCAGAATGCAGCTTTGCATTTACTGTAATATCTTTCTTCACACTTGAGCACATGCAAATATGTGTGAAATACATATTTACAGAGAAAACACCATGAGCCCGCACGTGTATTTATTCAAAACCCAGGAGTATCTCGTGAGCATTCACACCCGCGCACCTTTGGAGCCACCAGGGAAAATATCTTGGCAAAGATCACATGACCAACGAGAGCAAAAAGGATATGATTGCGGAATGTCGTGAACCACATCACCCATTCGAAGTCCGCAGCATCCTACAGCAAGGAAAAATGCATTAGGATCAAATAACAACCGCTCGCTTAACATGGCGCTGTGCAGCCGTATAGAGAATACATGAAGAAGAGGGACTTACCATTTTCCTGCCAAAATAATGCCATCCTGGTTTGACGCTTTCCTTGAAGGTCTTTCTGTTTGCATTTTCTGAAAAAACGAACAAACAAAAAAACGATAATCTCCATTTGTGCATGCTGAGGTGTTTTATTAATAATGCAAAACAGCTTTAAGTAATGACAGGACACTGTAAAGCCTCTGTGTTAGGGAATCCAGGCTTTGAGCAGCTTTGCTTTGGGCATTTTTATATGAGCTGGTTATTCCTCTGTAAGAAAATAGTCGTGCAGGTAGTCACAGCTTGAAGAGCTTTGGTGTGTTCATTGGATTATTGCAAATTTAAGGGCCTGAGAGCACTTCTGGTCTATTTTATAACACCAAATATTACATAATACACTCACTGCAGAGCTTTCTATTCTGAGGCTGACATCTAGTCTCATGTAGACATAATCTTGTTGCAGGAGAGTAGTTTTCTATATAACCTGAACAAAGCGCTAACACATAAATGACAAACACAACACCAAAAACAATCGCAGTGGTGACCAAAGTTGAAGCAATCAGTGTAGCAACAAATGTGATCAACCTACACCACCACCAGTGGGGAGTAGGGTTTTCCAGCCAAAGCTGGAGAAGCCTCAAAATGTAAGGGTAATTCGGGGAAAGCTTCTGGGAACACAGCCAAACTACTATTGCCAGTATACAGTGCTACTGTAGCATGCAGACCTGAGTATTACAAATGACCATTTTAAGAGACAGAGACTGAAGGAGAAAAAATATCTGGACTAAAATGATGATTGACATCTAGACTGTATGACAGCACAGACGGTGACAGACAGCACCAGTCACCCGATTGCACTCAGTCCACTCAGATCAGTTTGTGAAGAGGCTGGTCGAAGCATGTCATAGTCTGAACGCATGCAAACATTTGGTGTTATTTCAGGATGAAGGGTTTGGAGTTAGTTGGCTCAGTGTAACTTAGTCAGAAATATCTCCATCTGGGAAATAATTAGAGAGTAAGTGGACCATTTTTTCAAATTGTCTTCACATAATAAGAACACGCAGGAGTTCCTTGGGGGGAAGCAGTCTCTTTTCATCTACTAAATGAACTTTGTTCTGCCCTGTTTTAGGTTAAATGGAGCACTGTTGTAGGATGTAGGACGGTGCTTTTTGAGGCAGTTTTTAAATTGCATTGGAATTGAATTGCATTGTCACTTGGCTTTCAGTGACATTTATCAGATCATGAGTGAAAATTGTGCTCCTAAAGCTGATAGTAGGTGCATAAAAGTGTCCATTCTCTCCGACTTTAGGGAATATCAGTGGATTTCAATTAACCTCTATAAATGTTAAAGCACTGTGATATTGATTTTTTTTTCGGACTTTCTCAGTTACACGACAGCCTGTGTGTGTGTGTGTGTGTGTGTGTGTGCGCGCGCGCGCGCATGCATGCACTCCGGACATCTCTTGACACGTTGTGCACTCACCACTTGAAGCTTCAAATATCCAACTGCCAGCCCATATCAAGGCCACAGCAAGTACAGCTGTGTAGAGATACAGCTCATATCTAGGGAGGGCAGTCTTGATCCCCATGGTGAATCTGCACACTTGAAGCCTAATGGGTTGAAAAGCAATCAGCCACATAATGTTAGACCTAAGTGAAGGGAACCAGTATAAATGAACAGAAAACAAAACAAAAAAAGGAAAACTCTGAGAGAAATGCAGGGTTAAAAAGTTTATTTTACTGAACCAGGTTATTCTTTGGAAATTGTTACATTGTAGTTTGCTGTGACATGTCAGTATGAAAGCATGCACGCTGACAGGTTCCTCGATAAATAAAATGCTCCGCAGGATTAACCGGACAAAACATGAGGAGAAACCCAGTACAGTTCATTTTTATGGTAGATGTCCATGGCAGTATTACCCAGTGGAAATCAGCCTGTGCCTATAGAAACTATACACCCACAAAAACGGGTCAGCGCAGTAATAACACAAGTTCCTGACTGGTCTGAGACAGACCGGGGTGTTTCACCGAGGTGGTATTTTACTAATAAGCTTCCCGGATCGACAGCCCAGTGACTTAAATAGGACTTCAGAGCTCTGGCTCCTCGGAATCAGCACCGTCAGCTGCGCAACCCTACCTCTCCTTCCTATTATAGTACTGTCTTGCAGTTGGTTTGCTGTACAGCAGGGCAGCTGCAGTGCTATGTGATCTGGGAGGCGCTGGGGACTCACTTCACAGAATAATTAGCCCTAACTGGAATGGCCAAGAATGGCGCACTGGAGTGGGAAAACCGTTAGTTTTCAGGTGGACAGCCCGGGTTCCTGGCTGTGTTAGGGCGTGTGCTTCATGCTCATGTAGCGCACTTTGAGTTGAACTTAAAGGAGTTGGACGAACAAGTGTGGCATGCCAGTGCCAAGATGTAACCATGGCTATGCAGATCCCCCGCAAAGCGGCATGCATACAAATTGAGGCTTACTTTTTCAATGCTCTGTGCGCACAGAGTCGATAACACACCGGCTGTTTGTTCTGATTGTTCCCCCCTGGTGGTTTCCGTCATATTTATCACTTTGCATTAATACAAGACTTGTTTTACTAACCTTATATCCGCTTTACACTGTCAGGATGAGGGCAGCACTACAGCCAGTTCTTCAGTAGACCAAAGAAATTGGGGGAAAGCAGGTGGCGGCAAAAGCAGATTTCATTTCATTCGTCTTGCGGGGGCTTTGCCGCTGCCTCTGATCACCAGCCTCTGGCAGTCAGGATGTTGCGGACCCAACGAAAGGAGGAGGAAGAGGAGGAGGAGGAGGGGGGATATATTTATCCACCACTACTGCACCGCAATGAGGGGTGGTCCACACCGTGTCCATCGGATCTTACTCACAAACATGGTTTATAACGTCGAAAAAAGAAAGTCAATCAGTAGCAATTAGCCTAATTGAGAGCCAATCAAAGATAGAATGGATCTGACTTGATAAATTATATGCGGATGTTAAAAGTGCAATGAAATATGATTGCACTTACTGTTACAGACCCAAGTCACGTTTTCCGGTTAGATGCAACAAAGGCAGTGTTTCTACAATTTGAAAGAAATTGGTTTTTTTCTGTTTTTAAAAATAATTTTCTGTACTCTGTGATATCGTCGAAGACCGCCATATTATAAAACGCATTAAATGCCTAAGGAATTTGGGGAATTTTCATATATTAGTCAGTGCTTTCCCATTTCAGCACACACACATCACATCTGCGTCTTTCTATTTTTAATCACTCACAACATAAAATGTCATTTGTCAAGAAACCACCCACTCCAAATCACACTGCGACTGATGGGATTGAATGCATGCAGGCGCTGTTTCATAGTTACTAAGGCAGCATTGTTGTCATTTAGACACTAGGTGTCGCTCCCGGTTTATTACAAATGACAAGGGTGCCTGAATACCAGGGGTTTTTGGATCAACGTCAAGTATTTGCTCGGTTTGTTGTTTGCCTGGGAGCAGTGTTAAATCGATAGCTTAGTGTCACTATAAACGGCCCCATTAAGCATATTCTGTTTGGGAGAGTTTTCCCCCCAAATGCTAATAGTAAAGAGTCTGTTGCCTGCGGACATCAGTAATTACAGCCCAAGAAAGCCGCGTCCAGCCAGCTGCATGGTTTGAGCAATGTAGTGCGGCGAGTTTGTGCTGCCTGCCTGAGAGAATCCATCACAGAAACAAACCGCCCCCTCCCACTCACGGTGCCCCCGCTTCAGATGCAACTCAAAATACATAAAGCCTCCATGTTGCACAGGGAATGTAGGGCCAGCACATATGAACCGACTGCCTAAAAGTGTCTGGTAACTTTAACGCCGAACAACCTGCGGTCGTTGCATTTTTTTTGAACTAGAACAACCATCTGGGCTTCCAAGTATTTTCAGCGGTGCTCCAGACACGGCCTCGCATTTTGGATAATCGAAGGTTTGCGGCTAACTCGCTAACCTAAGCTACTTGCTAACTTCAGTTAGTTAGCAATTTCAGCTTCTTTTCTATTTATTTGTTTTTTATAGTCACGCACGCTCCTCGTGTTGCCCACAAACATAGTTGTTTGTAGCGATGGTAGTTTTCGGAAAGCCATAAATGACAGACATTATCTGGCTTCCATTCACCACTGTGCTAGCTGGCTGGCTACCACCGCTGCCACAACCCCTTCGCCTCGGACGCTTTCCTGGCTTCGTGGGCTAGCTGGTTACCTTCATCTTAAACAGCTAGCTAACAGTAGCTAGCAAAGGAAGCAAGCGCGCTTGTACTATTGACATTGTGGGAACTAAAACAGGAATAACCAATCGTCTAAATGGACCACATGTCCATAATAACCCAAGTTTCTAACCCCAAGGAGGAGGAAATAATATCATTTAACCAGGAAAAAGGTAAGGAAAAAGTCAATTTACGGTACATAACTAATGCTAGCTGGCTGACTACTTTTCTCTGTTGACGTTAGCTTTTATTCGCACTTGCTAGCTGTTGTAGTTGTTAAAGACCTCAGTTGCCTTTGTGTGAAAAGATGGAAACACGTCTTTTGTTGAAAAAGAAAAAAAAAACTCAACTACGCAACAAGTTTGTCAGTGGGGCCTTGCCCGGGTAAGTTCTCCAACTAGGATAACGTTTGTTCATTGCGTTTTCAAAATGAAAAGCGCTCCAGCGCGTTTTTTTTCCCCTTTTAACATTAACGAAAATTCACTGTCTGCACCAAATTAACGCATATTTTGTAAAAGTATTTGCAATAATACATCTGGAAAGTACACTTCTCTTTATGCGTTTGGACTATATAACTGGACCATATGATCTGACAGCTCTGACAGTTGATTCATGTATGGATCGAGTTCTCGGTGGTTTGGATTGAGATTGGCAAGAAGTTCCTAAGGACGAAGCTAATACGCGGACTAAAGAGAACTGTGCTGCTGGTGTTGTGTATCGATTCAGTTTTACTTCATGCACATAGCAAAGCTATCTGTGCAGCTTATGGGAAACTTATTCGGTTTGTCTGAGATGTAAACAGTGAAACTGTTTTATCCGCGCTTATTGTTTCTTGTGAGGTTTGTGTGTTATGCAGTGAAATTAACCTCCAGTTTTAGGTCTTTTCCTATATGTATCACTTCTAAACAATATTCTGTCCTCTGTAATAGATGGGTTTGTTTTTTGGGTTTTTTTTAAGTGCTGCTTAAACGTGAATGACTTCTCCACAAGCCCATAGCTCCTAATATCCAGTGATTCTCATTCCTGGCGCCCTTTGACACTTTACCTATGCACCGGGTCACCCTGGTGCATAGGGTGTGTATCAATATCACATCTCAAACTTCTCTTCTCAGACCATCAGTAATGTGAGAACTTGAGTCTTTGAAGCACAACAATGCATTTGCCTGTAAGCTATAAAAGTGACCCAGAGTAACTGCTGTGGATTCTGTGTCACTTGAATATACGTGGGTTGTCTTGGGAGGTTATTCTTGCATGTGTGCTGGAGTTTAACACTTAAGGTGGAGTTATATGGCAATTAAACTAATCATATGCCACTACGGTGATATAACAGTGTTAAGACAGCTTGCTAGATCAGTAAGCATATACCATGTTTAGCAAGCCTGTTACAGATAGTTGGTCTGCTTCTGAAGACATGCACTTTACTGCACCCAGGTAGTATTTTAGTATGATTTCAGTGTGTTTGCCAACAGAGGCGGTCGAGTACAAGCATTCACTCTGCTAGAATTCATTGTTTGCGTGTTGGGTTGCTGCATGAAATAACATAAGACTAGGTGCGAGAGTGTGCGTGTAACAAGACACAGTTGAGTTACAGGATGAAATAGAGCAGTGACGTGGATGCTCGCTTCTCACAACAAATAATATAATCATTATAACAATTGTATATGTCTTTGTCCTTTCTCCCCTTTGTTCTTAATCTGGAAAAATGGCAATTCAATTTCAGAATCTGCAAAAAAAAAGTCAGATAGGGTGCAGGTGGGTCTTCACAAGATACAGGTGGGGCAAAACAGATGGCAGGACAGAAGGACTGTGCATATAAATTACAACAAACATGTGGTAACAGCACTTGTTTTTTGTTTTTATTTCAGTCTCTCTTCTTTTTTCTTTCCTAATTAGCAGCCAGTTTTGTGAATAGAATTTTTATATAGAATAGAATATTTTGCCAAACAAAACTGTCCACATTTGGCACTTGGTGGAAGTTTATAATCACATAATTTAAAAAGTCTATAAATATTTAACAGCATTATTTCTATACACATTTTCTGATGTAAATACAAAGTCAGATTGTCATCTATCTATTGGAGATCACCTAACATGTAGCCCATGCGGCCATCTGTCTTAAAGGAATTAAATAGGTAGTCTTCCAATAGCCTGAACAGGCGCCAAACTGTCTGGGCAAAAACTGACCACCTTTGCTCTTAATGTTCCTCTGCTGGCTGTCTTACAACATGTGCTTGCCTCTCACACTGGTTTGGCTCCCAAGCAGCAGCAGCAGCAGCCTATATATAGACCTACAGTCTTGCTGGGAAGGGCACTAACCCCAGAGCCAAGTGTAACTAATTGTAAGATGACAGTGATCATTTTCTGTGTTGTCACAGACATACTTTGAAAGGGAAAAACAAAAACAAAAAAGCTCTTCATTTCCAAACAGAGGCCATCAGAGCAGTGATTTCTGTGGGTCTTTTTCTTGAATTTGAAGAGTCTTGTTGATTTCAACAACTTAAACTTGCCACTCAGCTGAGATTGTTGTAATGAGATCTTATTAATATGTCTGTGAGATGGATGGAGTCTTACACATGATCCATTTACTGTTACGATAAATTCCTTGCTAATAGTGTTGGAAGATTGATTCATATGGGGTGACCTTGACTGAGCCCTCTTCTAGCCTCTTCTGCTATTAAGTTCTGGGGTTTCCTGTCTATATTTGTTTAACCTCATGAACACATTGAATTTAAATAAAAAGAAGGAAGCACTAAATACATTCAAATATGCTACAGATTTAGCTTTAATTAAGTCCTCGATTAGCAAAATAGGATATAAATATTTCCCAAGCATTAAACTTGTCAAGATTAATATTAATAATAGTTTAGAAAAGCACCAAAATATATGTATCTATTGGAAATTACTTATATTTTGTACTATGCATTCAATTTTTAATAAGTTTTGGTTTTTCTGTGGTTACTAATGGAATCAAAATTTAGTGGAAAAATTGCAGGAATACATTTTTTAGTTGTAGTTTAAAATACTGTCTTAATTCTTTTGGTCCCATTTAGTTCTCAGCCAATTCCACATTTTCCAATCCATGGGATTTATAAGCCTACAAGCTTATCAGTTGCCAATGCCAGGATCTTTTTGTTTGCTTTAAAGCGGGCTGCACTTTACAAAAGAGTGATAGCAAACTCACGGCAGTGGAGTATCCACATATCCTCACTTAAGCTACTAAAAGTCTTCATTTAGGGAATCTACTAAAAGAAGACCCTTTCCGCGCTAAGAAAAGTTCAATAAAGGGAGGAAAAAAAGCAACAACAACAAAAAAACAGCACATGACTTGGGTTGGCTATCAATAAAATCTTAATGGCACTATCAGTTCTGGTCAGAAGTCTGACTATCGGTTCTCTCATGGGTTACTGATCAGTTTTCTGCCTGGCCAAAAAACAGTTCTGCATAGGTTTTCACAGTCAATGCAACAGTTTTATTACTTGTATCTAAAAACGGTCTAAAAACACAGAAACAGAGCAGAAAAAAGGTATCAGTACTGAAAGAGTTGAAAGGTGTTGTTTAGAAAAACGTCTCTTGCCGTGGAAACTTGGAGATTGCACTGTTTACAGGAGGTGGTGTGGAATTGGTTAGGCTTCTCTTTGACTAATCCTTGGTCAAATCTGTAGACTGTGTCAATAGTCACAAACCCACCCAGGAGTCGGTAGATTTTGTCACATGTGTGCTGGATGGCTGACCTTTTTTCATCCCTCAGCTGAGATGCATGTATGGAAGCAAATTACCACATTAGTCAGATCGGACATTAGGCAGTATTTAACCTGCAGCCCACTAGTATAATGTCCATGTGATGTCATATTGTGTCAGTGTGGGGAATAATGCAGTTAATAATTTGGAGCATTCAGTGCGTGGTGCTGTCTCCTGAATGTTGTATACATGCACCCATGCAGCTGTCTCGCTTATACCACACAGTATTTCCAGTACTGTCAATGTGTTTGAAGCGGACTACTGTTATGAAATGACAATTGTGTAAAATATCCACATGGCATTCTCCTGATTCAGTGTGATCTGATGGAAACAGTTTAGGAAACAACAAAAGAATTATCACGTAGAATGAGAGGTCATGTCCCTTGGTCTGACTCTTACCTGAGCTTAGAGAAAAGTCAAACAACACTGGGAATATTTTTGCTCTTTCCAAAAGGTGTTTGTTTTGTTTTTCTGGAATGTGTTGTGAGTAAAGGTACTTGTGCTTGTGAAGTTCAGCACCTCATTAGTGAACTACAGCTCTGCTTTTATGCCAGGTGAGTGATATATTTGAGACACAGTTGTGCTCTGTGCCTGACTGTGAATTTGCTAAGGGTCTTTGTGCAGGAGTCCGTACCACGGCTGGTTGTAGTGATGAGTCACAGGGAGCTGACAACTGCCTCTCTGTCCCAGTTTTACAGAGCTGAAATGAAAACATAAAGCCCTGTTTAAGCAAAAAAAAAAATTTGTGCTGCTGATTATGGCCAGATAAAAACTGAGCTCAGTGTAGCCACTTTGAGTATTTTTAACTTAAGCCTGTAAAACACAGAGAACAATGTGGGCAATGTTGATTCAGAGTAATTTGAAAACTTCTGAAGAAAACATTCTTCATTTTCAAGCTGGTAATTTTCCAAACAAATTTCTAAATGTGTTTGCTGCCTTGGTATTTCGTGGTAGTTACAATGTTGTTTTTGCTGGTTTGGGTCTCTCTGAAACATTGGGTTGTAGCAAGATATCCACATGCTTCGGCTTTCTTAGAAGACACAATAAATCTGTTGTTGTTGTTGTTGTTGTTGTTATTGTTTCTTTTCCTTGTCGATGGCTGCAGATTATAGTCCACTCGACTTGGAAGAGCTTATGGCACTGATAAGATACAACTTAGATACCCAGTAAAACATGCCCTTGCTTGAAAGGCTGTAATTAACATTACTGGAAGACAGTGATAGAGGGAAATGACAGAGAAGCTCGGGAGTGCAGAAAGTGTTTAATGTAGCTGTGACATGCTGTTAGTCAGTCAGCTTCTGATAGCTTTACTGTAAGAGCGAGCTATTAATCTGTTGAAACGCATTATGTGCTTGCTCCACATCCTAACATGTTAAAAGATTGTTGTTGCTTTTGTGGTCTCAAGATCCTGTGATGCACAAAACTGTTTTATAATAAAGCACTAAACAGAGATGGCAAGTTGCAGAAAAATTTTGCTCCGAATGTGGGGTTTTTTTGTTTGTTTTTTTGTTTAGACATTTACACATTTGTTTGTAGTACAAAGTGCCACAATATCAAGATACCAAAAGACATGACATAATGCTATTCACTCTTCACAGTCTTCAGTTGCAAAGGCATTCTGGTGGGCTGGGCAGGGGGAATGGGTGGAGAGGAATGCAGCCTTGTATAGGCTCTGAGGGGTCTGAGGGCCTCCCACCTCCTTCTCTGCTTCTCTTGTGCATGATCAGGCTGCTTCAGTCACTCACCTGCCAGTTGAAATGTTGGAGGGAATCAAGTCAAGTTTTCAAAATGGTGGTAGCCACAAAAGCAAATACGAAAAAATAAAGGAGAGAGAGAACAAAAGAATGAAGTGTGTACACCCTCCAAGTTGTCACTATTAATAAAAGCTCAGTGTCTCATTTAGGCCGCGCTTCGTGGTTCAGGAATGAGAGGCGATTTGGAATCGGAGCAGAGCATGCTCTGAACTGTCACTGAGTGTGACTGATGAGGTCACCCGGCCACCTAAGTTATTTTCTGATCAGTGGTTCAGCCAGGGCGAGTGCACAAAACAAAACCTAATGCCATTTAATCAGACTGTAAAGGTCTCCCCTATTGTCATTCAGCATGGCTCACACCACTGTGGCCACTTAGCAAAATTTGTGGCTAACACATGGCCTGTTTTATTAAAACAGGATCTACACCCTGGCATGCAAATATTCAGATGTAAAGAGTGCACAGTTTCATCCTGCTGCGTTTTTATCGTAGAATGTCAGTTTGCATATCCGCTTGTTCATCCTCTATTCTTCCACCCTCTTCCTGTTATTTTTGCCAGCGTCCCAGTCAAACAGCAGCCTAAAGAAGCAGAGGAGCCGAGGCATCTTCAGCACGTTTTTCTGCTGCTTCCGCAACTACAATGTGGACTCTCCAGCCACCAACACCAACGCCAGCTCCCCGCCTCCACCAGTTGAGGAGAACGGATCGCCTCCCAAGGTGAGCTGTTCCACCACTAAATGTTGCTTGTTGTCCTGTTGAGGACTCTAGAAATATCAGTTTGCAAGTCTTTTCCATCTGTTGTAAACTGTCTGTTTTTGTGAGTAGTATTTTCTCTTTGTGCTATCTCTGTCAATGTGTCATTGTTTTTTGGGGGGGTTTCTCCTTTGTTTTACTTCCTACCCCTCACCCTGTTTTTGTATGTGTTGTAGTGTGACCAGGTCGAGGTCATCCCTGTCCCTAGTGTATGTATTGCCTTTTTTTTCTTTTCCTTTGCATGCAGGGTGAGTGGGCTGGTGGCACATCCTGTCTGTGTGGGCTCCACAGCTCCTCAGAGAGCTCTAGCTCTGCTACCGTACCGCAGTTCACTCTCAGCCGATGGTAGCACTGTCTGGCTGCGTAGAAGGTGTACCTGCACCTTTGGGTTTAATGTCTCAGTGCTTCATCTGCATTAGTGACATTTTGTGGTTTGTATGCTCTCAGAAACACTGTAACACTAACCAGCTAACATTTTTAAGTGCAAACCTGTTTCTGTTAATTGCCTCCGGAGCTTCTACGCAAGGCATTAAACCATTTATTGTGCTACTTATCTATGCAGTTTAGTAATTTTGAGAGTGAGAATTAACATTAGCTCCTAGTCTTTCAGTTTGGCTACTCAGCTACAGACTTAAAGTAATTAATCCTGTCACTCAAGTAGGGCTGTTCGATATAACGATATATATCGGATGACGATATAAAAACGTCTATCGTTTCATTTTACGCTATCGTTTGTTTCGTGGTGTCGCAAAATAAACTGTTTACGGCAATATTTTTTCATCGTTTTGATGGTCACTGTAGTGGCTATATTAATTTCTTAAAGTTCTCTCTTTCTCTTATATTTAATATAACCACACTACGGATCGGACAAGCGCCTGTTTTTATGCGTTGTCGTTAGCAACAACGACGGTAACACCATCGCGTGTCCGCTTGTTTATGTTCCACATAAACCTTTCACAATAAAGCATCCTCAGCTTATAACCACATAGATCCTGTTGAGACTTTTCAAAATAAACTGAATCACGTGAAAGAGCAGATTATTTACGGATGAGAAGTAAAAAAGAGCCGCCAGGTGCTAAAAAATAAACCTTAGACTTTCCCCGCAGCCCGCTGTGTAATAAATACTCACAAAGAAAACGGCGGCCGTTACAACTTATGTCTAAAAATGTATAGTTTCATGCATCGGTTAAAACACTCGACTCCAGCTACATGACGCGCAGCTGGAAACACTTCCCGCAAGTCGAGCTGCCCGAGATTCACAGAATTTACAGAAAATGTTACATTTTTGTGATTTATATCGTTATCGGGATGATAGAATTCTTATATCGGGATATGAGATTTTGGTCATATCGCACAGCCCTACACTCAAGGAAGGACTGAGATGTGATTCGGTGATCTGCGACCCATCCAAGGAAAAGTTGGTGAGAATAACCAACAGTGATTTGATATAATTTCATTCTAAAAGAGCATCCAGTCAATTCCAGCACTGAGCCATAGTTCTCACTTCACTTCACACTCTCATATAGTGTACTGGCATTTTCAAACTTCACAGTTAAGTTTGATTGATCCCAGCAAAATTAGGATGGCTTAACAGCAGCAGACAGCTTTATGCATGATACAGATGTGTGAAATCTAACTTGACCTAATAAAGATGTAAAGAGATGAAAGGGTTTTTTGTTTGTTTGTTTTCGCTTGAATTCTGTAGTGTCACTGATCTCAGTTGGTTTTTCAAAAAACTATCTCCTCTAACATGGTTTTGGCTTTTTGTTGGCTTAAACCTTACTTAATGCAAAGTGTACAGCATTCATGTTCTCTCTTTGGCTCTGCCTGTCCTTCTCTCTCATGTACTGCTCTCTGACATTATCTGACTTGTCCTCCCTATAGCCGCCAGCCAAATACCTCCTACCAGAGATGAAAATATCTGACTATGGCAAAAAGTGTGTGGTGATTGACTTGGATGAAACACTTGTCCACAGTTCATTTAAGGTAAGAAGGGGCTAAAACTACTGTTGAAATTCTGCACAGTATGAGCACTTTTACTACCAGGTTTAACTAAAAGCCAATATTAGGTTTGCCTATATTTCTGCAAACCATTGTTTAGTTTATGTCTATACATTGTCATTATTTCCAAAGTTCCGCTAATGATACACAGGAAGTTGAAGCTGTTTGAATCCATGACATCACTGTGTACACAAAAGAACGAGATGAGCAGGTGGCAGAGGATGTGAGCGAGCGTAATATTACAGTACTGACTGTGGCTTATAATGGGTACATGATTGTAACAGGAAAATGCAGACAACCAGGCTGTGTTGGCAACCATCTCCATTCGATAAAACATATTTTTTGCACTGAAGAATACTTTCTGTGCACTTTCTTCTTTTCTTTTTTTTTAATCTTCAAGCTGTCCACTTCTGCCTGAGGTCAAATGCTCTGTCTGCTGTCTTAAATTACTACAGAGGTTAAAGGAGGGCAGTGATGATAAAGGTTGTTGTAGCAAAACATACTTTTTTTTTGTCCTCAGAGATTAGACAGTCTGGAAATTGAGTTTGTGTTAATAGTACGACCTCTGGGGGTCAGTTGGGGTAGTACGACAAAAGTAATTGTATTTTCTTCCCACAGCCTATCAGCAACGCTGATTTCATTGTCCCAGTAGAGATCGATGGTACAGTTCATCAGGTATTGTGGATTTCTTTAAAAACTAATAAATTGTATTGAAGTTTGTCTCTTTAATAGGGGGGATTCCATTTGGTTCTGATGTGAAGATCCTGAAGAAAAGGCTGTTATCCAGTTCAAGTAATCCAGGATAGGCTGTGTGTATCCTGGATGGCCTATTCGTGATTACTTGCACTGGGTGGCAGCCACTGTGCGAAGGGGATGTGGGGGGCATCTAAAGTTATGTGACATGGTAAACAGTCTGATCATTTTGAATAATTAAAGAAATGAGTAACAGGAATTATTTTGTATCCATCGTGAAGCTTTCGCATATATTTTCTTATAAATGACACTGTTCACCTAAAGTGCCCTCAGTACAGATAATGTATCTGTAGTGTTTGACACTCCTGTCACACCACGGTTTGTTTTGTTGTTGTTGTTGTTTTGAAATCTGGGGTCCGTTCTTCGTACCTCGCTTACTACATCCAAGATCAAATCATCGCGCCAACTTTGAGCTCGCTATTCCGGTTCTCCGAACACACCTGTTGTTGACGATTAGTACAGAATCAGAATCAGAATCAGAATGGGGTTTATTGCCAGATGTTGAGGTTTACAACATTAGGAAATTGCTGCGGTGCTTCAGTGCAAACAATAAGAATTAAAGTGCTATGTAGAAAGAAAGATATGTGCATGGGATATACATGAGATATATACATGAGAATAAGAATTAAGAGTGCTGGATGAAGTAATGTGAGATCACTGGGTGGCTTAACAGGGGCTACGCATCGATAGTAGAAACATTGATCGGCAACCCTTTGATTGGTCGGCGAAAATGTCGAAGGAGCGCGCTCAGTATTTTTCGGCAGCAGAGCAAGAACTCTTGATTGAGGGATTTCAGGAGTTTCAGAGTTTAATTAAAACGCAAGGGAACACTGCAAAGGCTGCAAAAGCAAGGAGAGAGGGCTGGCAGAAAGTTGCTGACAAATTAAACTCGTAAGTAATTTAATAATAATAATAATAATAATGGATTGGATTTATATAGCGCTTTTCAAGGCACCCAAAGCGCTTTACAATGCCACTATTCATTCACTCTCACATTCACACACTGGTGGAAGCAGCTACGGTTGTAGCCACAGCTGCCCTGGGGCAGACTGACAGAAGCCAGGCTGCCATATCGCGCCATCGGCCCCTCTGGCCAACACCAGTAGGCGGTAGGGTAAATTTATTATATTATATTACATTATATCCTCTTTCACATTAGAGCCACAACAGGACCCACTAGAACATGGGAACAAGTAAAAGTGAAATATAAGAATATTCTACAGAATGGTAATATTTATCACTTATATTGCTTTTAGTCTCTTGAAAAGAGACCCTGAAATAATCTGTTTGTTTATAACAGCAACCAAGAAAAGGGCAGAGCAAAAAAAGACAGGTGGTGGTCCTGCACCCCCTCGTCAACAAGTTGGTTAAGTAAATAATACCCTCACGGGAAAATCGATATCTCTCAATGAGCACACTGTCGCGCTGAGCTAAAGGATCCTGTCTGTCCCGCAATATACGCTGAATTCTGAGAACTCTCCTTATCAATCTTGCACCTTCCGCAATGGGTGGCTCGCGTATACGGACAGGACATGGCTGCGACAGGCTTCCCAAATCCACCTTCGCTTTTATAGCCGTGGTCTCTCATCTTGATTACACGAAGTAATTTACTATTACTACTCTAAAATATGAATTACATCTGAAATAATCAAATACATGAAATAGAATGATTAATAGTACATTTCCCTTTTTTTAGGAAATGACCTGTATGTATCTGTATGAAATCAATAAAAGAATCAAATACTGCATTATCTTTAGTTACATTGATAATATTTATTTATGGAAAACAGTGGTAAAATATCGCTGTTGCTTTCGTATAAATGAAGCGGACATACCTGAGTGGCCGCGATCTAATCCTGTTTACATAAAGTAAGCCTGCTCCCGAGCAGGTTTACGCTTACGGATCTGTTGCTATGACAGCAAGTCCCGGATGAGCTTCAGAGAACCGAACGATCCAAGATCACGCGAAATCGTCAACAATCAAATCCAGCTAACTTACTTAGCGAGGTACGAAGAACGGACCCCCTGGTCTTAAAAGCGATGATCTATCTTGCAGGTGTATGTGCTGAAAAGACCACACGTGGATGAGTTTCTTCAAAAGATGGGAGAACTATTTGAATGTGTGCTCTTCACAGCCAGTCTTGCCAAGGTATGTTCAAATGTGGACATTTTTTCTGTTTTGACGTGTGCTTTGGTTACAAGCCACTGGTACCTGTGGAACTGTGAACATCGTTAATTTTCTGCTTTCTGAATTTTACATCTCCGTTATTATGCTCTGCATCTGTCACTCCATCATGTTAGCCAGTAATGCATGGGTAAGTGTAATGAATGAGGCAAAAGAAACTGTGCTGTGGGAATAATTCCTCTCTAGAAACAGATATTCCTTAAAAGCTAGAATGCGCTTTTCTGTGTTATGGCATAGTGGCACCTTCCCTGTTAATCAAGTGCTGTTATGAGGGACACCATGCTTTGCTTCCTTTTGGAAACCTAGTGTAGCGTTTAGCTTTTGTGAGTTGTTTTTGTTTCTAGTTGAAACATGTGATCATAAAGATGTGATGTATATCGTCCCAACATTCACAAGTCATATTAGTCTTATTATATTCCTTGTTTTAAAAACCGTTTGCTTCTCCTCTGTTTGTTTTGCTTGGACAGTATGCAGACCCTGTGGCAGACCTGCTAGACCAGTGGGGCGTGTTTCAAGCGCGGCTCTTCAGAGAATCCTGTGTTTTTCACCGAGGCAACTACGTCAAAGATCTTAGCCGGCTGGGGCGAGAACTCCACAATGTTATCATTGTTGATAATTCACCTGCTTCTTATATTTTCCATCCAGAAAATGCTGTGAGTTCCCAATTCTCCAATATATTTGTTACATTCAGCACTGCATCTGTTAGACTCTGAATTTTTCTTGCTACAAAGTAGCCTTCTGTTGCATGCTGAATATGATGATGGAAAACAACAGAAGTTAGAAAGAGGAGGGAAAAAAGCTGCTCAGCTGCTCTTTGCTGCAGAAGCTGAGTTGCTCTGGGGTTCTTGAAAATATCCCAGCAGTGATCTTTTGGATTGAAATAAGCCTCATACTTGTACAGGACATAGTTTTTTCTTTTTTTTTCTCTTTAGAATCTCGTGTAATTTTAGCAGTGTGCTTTGAAACGTCACCTGGCTGGAATAATCCTCTTTTGTCAAACATCTGCAGTTAGTATTTTGGTGTAGCCTCAGGCATTCACAGTGCCGCCTATTAAATGTCATTTGTGTCTTTGTCTGTCCAACACCTTTTGCTCTCATGCTGCTTCACATCATCACACTCACACCTCTGGTTTTCACTGTCTCTGGTGATCCTGGCCATTTTTACACCAGATACATTTCACTGAGCCAGACGTGACAGTCTTAAGCCTTTTGGTTTTATTTTCTTCCCGAAGCCCTTCATAGAGTGTGACATTATGCAAAATACCTGTATCTGTAGGTATTTCACTGCCTGTGGCATCATTTTAGGAGGATGGCCTCTGCAGCCTTCCTTCTGATTTCTGCAGCAGCTGTGTTTTGGACTCATGCTGAGTTGGTCACTGATCTTCCACACCATTTTCCAGCTTTGTCTCACCATCACATTTCCCCTGGCTGTGAGGCAGGGCAGACACTAAGAAAGTTCTTGTGCTCATAGATCATTTTATAACAATGTTCATACTTTGTTTTTGTTTTGTTTTTTTTATTATACAACTTAGTTTTGTGTTTCTGACTTGTGTGTCAGTGATTAGTTTCTGTTTTAAAGTACTTGCGTCTCGTCTTTAAAATAATCATTTTATTGAGCGGTTACATAATTTCTTTGGTTTCTTGTGGTATTTATCAATCAGGATCAGAATAATTTATTAAGAGCACTAGAATTCATTTTCTCCAGTAGTGTACTTTTCCTAATTTGCTTAACGTGTCTGCATTTTTATGCTGTAATTGTCATTCAGCTCTACATCTTAAGGCTAACTTTCAGTGGTTTGTGCCTCTCCTCAGGTCCCAGTTCAGTCCTGGTTTGACGATATGAATGACACAGAACTCCTGGACCTGCTGCCTTTCTTTGAGGGACTCAGCAAAGAAGAAGAGGTTTACGGAGTCCTGCAGAATCTAAGGAGCAGGTAGCAGGACAGCCCACACTACCGCCTGTGCCCACCAGTCTCCTGTATTGATCTCTGTTCCTTTCTACGACCGTATCTCTCAGACTTGGGCAGATCCTCCCACACTAAGGGGACGCCTTGGAGTCTCACTGTGGAAAACATCATAACCCTGTCTCTGATCTCATCTCCTGGCGACCGGCTGCCTTCTGAGTGCCATCAGAAAAACAAAAACATTCAAAATCCCAGGAGCACTGTGTCTCACAAAAATAATAAAAACCACACCAGAAAGTATGTAGAGTGTCCTAAGCTGATAATATCGGGGACAAAATACTAAGAGGAACGAACTTTAATCTTTATTTTCAAATCAACCAAGTTTTACTATTTGGTGAAGTGCTTATTTTAAACGCAAGGAAAAAAGAAAAAAAAAAAAAACGACAACAAAAACAACTTTTTGTCTGAGACTTCTTTTGTGGTACCACACAAAAGTCTGAAAAGATTTTGTCCTCATATTGTTGCTATGCAGGCAATTTCTGGTAGTAGAAAGGACTGTGATTCTCTTTTCATACTTAATGAAGTGCCTTGTGTGACTGTTGTTTATATGGGGAGATATTTTCTACATGGCATATTTCCAGAGTACTCTGGTCTTTTCACATACAGATATGCTTTAAAGTGGACACACAAATATCTTTATATGAAAGTTTGAATTCACTATTTTGTTTTTTTTGGTCATCAAACGCTGGGCAGTTGTCTCATAGTGTTCTTCTGTTTTCCCAGTAAGCTTGTGCCATTATATAGATGTGACTTTGTTTCTTTCAGCTTTCATTATAAGTAGAAATGGTTGATTTTGTTTTAGGAAACGGAGGATGTATGCAGTTGCGACATTCACGCCCCACCTGCAGCAAGTCCAGTAGTTCTTTGCGCTTGATAATTTCATCTGAAAGCTCGGCTAAAAATGTGCCATTTCCTTGTCTTTTTTTTTTTTTTTTTATAATTTGCCAAATAAGGAACTTTTCTTTCTTTTCTTTTTTTTTATTTTTTAAACAGGCTTCATATCCGTACCAGGGTTGAGCTACAACTGTTAGTCTATTAGTTGTAAGAATAACATGATAGGTTTTATTATTTTGACAAATAGATGTCAAATTTGTTTGTTTTAATATTACAAGATCAGATGGCTAGCTTTTAATCACTTAAAAAAAAAAAAAAAGCTTTTGTGTGTGTGCATGCACACAAGTGGTGCAGCTTCACCCTTAGAGGGCAGAACTTCCTCTGAAATTGTACACATTTGCAAAGGTGTTCTTTAGTGTTTTTAAACTGGTCCAGGATCTTACAGCAAATAGGTTGAGTGCCATGTTTTCAGTTTTTCCATGTCATCAGTGTCTTTACAGAATAGGGTTGAGTGTCAGAGTCTGGACAGTGTTTAAATCACACCATTCCCCTGATGTACAGTGGTGGCCTGCCCTTGTCCAGCCCTCGTAATTAAAAAAAAAAAAAAAAAATCGAATGGAAATGCCACCTGTGGCGTTTATTTTCCCAGACTCCTTTTTTCCCCTTCCTTTTTTAAACTGCTCTTCACCTCAGTGCCTACATATGAGAGGAGCCCAGCAAACCGAATGCTGCAACATTAGCTTCCATGGCAATAACCGCTTTTATTTTGGAGGGGGAGGGTGGTTTGGGCACTTGGGTTAGAGCACTTGAATAAATTAACCAGTGAGGGTTTGTTAAAGTAAGACCACTGTAACATTCACTGTCCACATGAGTGGATCCAGAAACCGGACATCCATATAATATTTAGATCTACTAGTTTGTTTTTTGATCTGGTGACATGTAAGTGTTGCAGTGCTGAAACAACTTGAATTTTGATTGGTTTATCTCAGAAACGGTAGCCAAACGTGGTTACCTGTGTCTCTATAGTAAGAAACCCCTGTTGTGGAGCAAAAGGACGCCTTCCAAGCCTGCAGATGGGTGCTCAGTCCGGGCCCATCCAGACAGCCCCCTCCTCCAAAAACAATGTTTGGGTCCAGCTCTAAATGAAACACTACTGGGGCACTGCATCAGGACTGTGAACAACCTCATCATGGCATTAATGCCTTACTGCCTGTGGAGGCACAAAGCAATGTTTCTTCATTATTTCCAAGGTTACACCTCCCTGTTTTAGCATCATCTCTCTAGTATTTTCTTATGGAGTGCGAAAAGTGATCAGCCATATATGTAGAGCATATTTGGCTCTGGTGGGTTGTGTAACAGTAAAATGGAGCATGTGAAAAGCTCTATGGTGCCATCTAGGGATTGTTTGCCTCCAACAAACCTTTACTGCTTGGTTTGTGGGTCATGGGGTTTATATTTAAGAGACACTAATAATTTCCAACTTTATGCCCCCAGTTAAAAAGGCTGCTGCTCCTTCAGACATTTTCATTCTCTTCGCATAAGCATTTGTGTTGCGAGTGTGCAGCTCACGATGGTTTCAGTGCAATGTTTTTGTTTTTAAATAAGGAGCGTTTGGTCTTCTCAACCTCTCAATGATGACCTTTCTCTGAAAATGTTGTTTGTATCATTGTGATATATTTTTCTACCTACATGTTGTCAGTATTTGGGTTTGAAAAGTTGCATATTACCCATTATATCCAGCTTTTTGTTCCTATATCCTTTCAGATCGGTATTTTCCTGCTCTCTTGCCTTTGGTAAGAAAAATAAGTCAGGTCTCGTCCCACCTATCGGGACGATTGTGAGCATGTGTGTGTGTGTGTGTATGTTCGTTCATGTGTGCTGCCTTTCACTTTTCCTTTTGTCACTTCACTCATAATCACATTCTTCATTTTGTATTAAGTTAACACCAAAGTTCTAAAACACTTGATTTTATTTTATTTCCTCACTTTTTTTTTTCCTACTTTGGCAGCATGTCATTCTGAGCATCACCTTCTCCCCCTTTATTTTCTTTAATAAATGGCTTCATTGAAACAATTTTGTCATGTCTTTTTTTTTTTTTCTTCTTTTCTTCCTCTGCCCCCTGTCACACATCTGCTGTGGTTCATGAATTAAGGCCAAAGATCCTCACTTCAGTCTGGTGTGATTGCGGTTTCCACCATCTCTGATGTACCTCATATGGTATGTTTACTGAAAGTTGAGAGAGAATGTCACAGTTTTCTGTCTTTTACAGTCGACCTGATTTCTTTTTACCGTTCCTTTCAGACATGTCACAATAAAAGCACATTTTTTGGAGGATTGTTGCCTGTCTTCTGTCATCAGACTAACACCATCTGTTTCTGTTTTGTCTTAGTGAGCTGGCAGCGGTGGGTTCATGTTTTCTTATAACAAGCTGAAAGATGGTAACGGCGTGATTAACCTTTGGGCTCTGCTAACCTTGTTTAGGTACTACATGGTTAACTCAGTTTGTTTGGTAGTGTACGGTGGATATTTAGAGCTTTGACTAACAAAACTGCCAGTCTGGCAACAACCAAACGCTCTTGTGAAGCTGATGACGGTGGAAAGGATAGCTGTCTGTTGGAAGAAGCCCTGCGATGCGTTTTTGTACAAACTATTTTTGAGCAACTTTACACAATTAAGATGTAAAATAACTCCTAAAGGTTTTCATTCAACAGGAGCTCTCAGTTTGTGTGCATCGTTGCTGTGACTGTTTACATAGGGTGTATCCAAAGTTCACAAGGTAGTTTCCTTCTAGGGAAAGGCAGATGTGGCTCACTGCAAACTGGTTTCTAGTATTGTTTGCATAAAATTAAATAGTTCATGAAGATGTTTCAGCCGGAGACTGGTATATACAGGTATCGTCGCTGTCACAGAGTCGGGAGATTGGGGAGGTTTATAAGGACTATAATGCTGCATCATTCATTGTGGCTCCACTGGATGAGGACTGTTAAGTCATAGATGAATACAGTGCTTGATGATGATTGTGTTTAACATTTTTATGTGTTCATATTGATTTACAAAAAGAGGCAAAGTCAAGATGTTACATGAGAAATCATAATGGATGACTAAAATTACTGATGAAAACAGACTATAGCTTTCACATTGGCCTGTGCGTCTCTAAAAGTCAAAATTGTCATTTGGATGAAAAGGTTTTTTTAAAAAAAAAAGGAAAAAGACATTGAACAGACTTAAAAATAAGGGACAAGCAGTTTAAAAAGTTCCATCCTAATGCAAACTGAAGTTGGTATGTAGTGAGTGCTGCTTGTACAAATTAACCCAATTTGTAAAAGTGAAGTGTCATATATACATGGAGTGTTATAAAGTCTAGGGAGCCCTAGAGTGTGTGCATGTGTACCCACCTCCCAATACAACCAACATTCAGCTGCAAATCAGAATCTCTAGACTGAAGAGAGAAAAGTCGCAATTCGACTTTGATTAGAATTAAAGCAATAAGTTAATCATGAGCTAAAACTGTGAAGCCAAAACGAAAGATAAAATTTTAAAACATGGCTGTAGAAAGGAGGTCCTAGAGTTGGAGACTTCTTATTCGGCATCCAGGACCATAATGTGTACAAAAAGTCCGGCTGAGGGGAGTAGGTCTCCGTTCTTATTGAACAGCGGCACGTGTCTGTATCCTGTGTGGGAGCACAAAGGGGCTGCGGTCAGTGATGGCACAGGACAACATGAAGTGCTCCTTGTGGAGCGGATGAATTGGGTTCTCTATGTCACACCACAGAGAAGGGACACTTCCCCATCTCTGTTTTCACACTTCATAAATGAATAACTGACTATCAGTGGTTTCACATCACTGGATTATAGTAAGGAGAAAAAAAAGGACTTGACAAATACAGCAAAACTCACCCATTTTCAAGCTGTTGAAGGGAAGCGTGTACTGCCCGACAAAGTCATTATCAGAACTGGAGTCATAGTCTTCGATGCTGAAGCGGACCAATGCTAGTTCCGGCACATACACGTCAAACTGGAAGTTCTCATTCCAGGAAGGGTTAAAGCCTTCAAAACAGAAAATTTTGTATTGTCTTGATTCATCGCGGACACATTAAAATAAAACAAAGGACGTGAACGTGAGGTACCGTTGTTATCAAAAGGTTTGGTCTCTTTCTCTGCGACATCAGCTGGCACTCCATAGATTTCCACTTTAACCAGCGGGTCTACTACGGAGGACTTCTTCTGGTTCACTTTGGGAAGCTGCTGAGCTGATATGACCTATTGGCAGGTGAAGAATGATCTCAACTTTAAACGGGACTCAAAGGAAATCAAATAACTCCAGTGTGTGTCTGCACAATGAAGACCTCACCATGACATGCAGGGTCTTGTGCTTCAGCCAGTCTCCTCGGGTCAGGGTGATGGGGTCAAACTCTGTGGCTACGTCCCTCATGAAGGCTGGTTTCAGGATGTAGCCGCTTTTGCCATTAACCAGGAATCTGCCCTGGTTCATATCCATGTCTGTACAGGGAGTCTGGAAGTTTAAGGCCACTTAAAAAAAACAAAAAGAGAATACAGTGAACATGAGCTCTTGGCCATTGCTGTATAATTATCAGTGTTTGTTATTCCTCTGTTAGCCATTACCAATTTGGCAGCCAGCGTTCCACAGAGGCAACGGGTTGTAGTTTGAGGAGTCGGTCCTGGAGCCAGCTGGATAGATGCGACTAAACTTTTCCACATTATGGCGCACGTAGGCGTTTGCTGTGGGGGGGGAGGAAACAAGATTTATTGACAGTGCTTAATCAAAGTTTGTGAGTTGCTCATGGTTTCTCTTCCTTTACCCGACTCCTCTGCCAGCTTCATGGCCTTCCCCTCCTTGAAGGATGCCATTTCATAAAAGCTCAGGTTTTTTTGGGCATCTTCGAAGCCGTGGAAGTGGACGCTCTTAAAGTAGATGACCATGTCGGACAGCTCCTTCGCTAGCTTCAGCTTTTTCTTTGAAATATTGCGCAGAATTTAAGGGTGAGTAAACATCACGTGTGTGGTAATGTGCTTATTTTCATGGGCTCGACTACCTTTGTATTCTTCTCCTTTTGCGCATCCTCATCGTTCGACTCTTCCTCCTCCGTCACATCGTTGTCATCTGCAGCTGCCTCAGCAAAAGTGTCTTCCAGTTTGTTTAAACGTTTCCCTTTGATCAGGAACTTCCCCTTTAGCTCCTGGGGGACCACACACACACACCATTTATCTCCTATGATCGGTTCAGCCTTGACAATCCTGATAAAACTAGTGAAACGGATGCTAACCTCAGGAGATGGGAAATTTGTGGGCATGCCATCACCCAGAGGAGAGGTGATGAGTGCACTGCCAAGGATGGAGCTCATGTGGCGGGCCATGACTTCCTGCTGTTCCACGCTGCAGTGGTTCTCCAAGGAGAGAATCACTGGATATTGGGATGTCTGAGGAAAAGCAGGCAACCCCCCCCCCCCCAAAACAAACACATATATAAATAAGTGTGTTGCTGGATGTTGAGTGAAGACATGCTGAATACCAACAGATGCTAAACATACCTTGAAGGCATGCTCACTGATGGCTTTGATCACATCTTTAAAGAGGATCTTGGAGGTGAGAGTGTAGCCGTGGTAGATCACGGGCTCATTATCCGATCCGTCCCAGCAGTCCAGCTCCACACAGCGGCAGCCTTTCTGCAGAGCCCTGAGAGTGTTGGAGTGAGCATTAGTGACCAAATATGCTGTTTAGACTAACAGTTCCATCAGTGAAACGGCGCAACGTGGCGAGAGATGGTTACAAGAAACTATTTAAAATTCCAAGTTGTAATGAATTGGTCTCAGTGATTCAAGAACTGACAGATTATATGGCACATAAACACAAACTACCCTCACTGCCTGCTTAGCACAATTAACCAAGACATTAAAGGACATCATCATTTTTAGTCTTTGACTCTAGTAGACTAACTTCGCATGACTTGCAGTTCAAAATGAGCTTTTTTTTGTCTTAAATGAAACAAGCCATTTTAGTTCCCTTCCATTTAAGGTAAATTTCTTCTGATTGGCTGCCCCTCACAAATGCAGGATTTGAACAGATGGGTGGGGTATTTGGAAGACCCCTTCTCTAAGACAGATATATATCAACAGATCAGAGAAATCTGATGTCTGACCTTTGTTCTCGTTATTTTAAGTGTTGGCCATGTTTAATGCTGAGCTTCCACCATTGTAATAACAACTATAGAACTAAAAAACGAGAACAAGTATGAAAGGTCCTATTTAAAGTCAGTAAAAGTGATGGACTTCCTACTGACAAAAACAGTGCTGCTGTCTTTTCATGCCTATTTCATGTTAGTGACTGCACTGTGAGTTAATGTTTTGGGTTGTTTGTTTTGATGGTGCAGCTGAGTGCTTCCAACAGTTATTTTTTAGCTGATCTGGGGTTGAAAAAATGAGATTACATCTCTGTGGTTCCTTTGCACACCGATAGGAAGATGACTAAAGATCAAGTTTGGATAAATAACTAGCCAAAAACTTTCATCAAGGACAAATTACTGAATCTCGGGATGGAAAGTGTTACCTAATGTACGCCTCTGTGCTGCTGGGGCCTTTGAGCTGATCCTCCATGAGGTAGGTGTTGTGAGAGGAGGAGATGAAGTAGTGGTTGAGGGGCTGGCTCATATCCTGGTACACATCCTTGTGGTCTGGATCCAGAATCATGGCATCTGGGTGATTCAGGTACATGAGGAAGCCATCTTTGGACAGCAGCTTCTTCTCCTTGGCTGAAAAGACACACATACACACCAAATGCAGCAGATCAGTCTACAGTGCATTTAAAAAAAAACAACAACAACAAGAGGTCAGTAATTTATCTGTGGACAAACTCCATGAGACTCTTAATCCCAGAGACCTCTTGGACAGAAAGAAGCGCAATTTCAATAATAGATCTGAGTTTTTCTACATGATAAAGAAATGCTGTTGTAAAAAAAGAAACATTTGTCAGCAGGACTCTTAAACTGTAAGAAATAACCGTAAAATCAAGAAATAAGTTCTGGTAGCACATCGGCCAGACTGTTCTACAGTGGAGTCAAAAAACAACAAGATTTCTGTTGCTTCATTGTTTGTGGATTGGTTAATTAATTTACTGCAGCATGACTGGTTGAGGTCTTTATCATTAGGAGAAACTATACTAACAACAAAATACAGTTCACATTTTCCAGAGCCATCCACTGGGCTGGATTGGTGTCTTTACTGGGCCAATTCAGGCTCTCGGACCTTATGTTTGGCACACTTGTTTTAGGATGTTCCTGCAGGTGTGAGACCAGCTTGAGAAAATTATATTTCCTTGTTAATATTTCATACTGAGGTCGAAGGTAAGACTACCTTATTGAGAAGAATACAGACTAATCAAATGAATGAAGGTTACTTCTGCTTATATTGTGGCTACAATCCAGGTTTGACATTACATGAAACTGTTGCTTAGATGCATATTCACACTTCCTGTTCCTAAACCAGCTTTGCAGAAGAAAACCTCTGGAAATCCAAAATCTGTACAATTACTATGTAGTAGTAGTCATGTGACCAAAGTCTGAAATTTATGATTACCATCTCACAGCATGATTGCAGCTATATCTACATCTACTGGGAATGCAGATATGAAGGTACAAAGCAGTAATACACTGACACTCATGAAAAAGACAAAACAAACCCAGATAGCAAAAAAGAAATGTTTGAAATTCCAACAAAGAAGAAAATCTAGTCCTCCAGCTGTGGGGAACATACCAAGGAAGACAAAGCTTTGAGAGAAGCAGAGGAACATACATCATAGCATCTCTTTCAACAGCCACTATGTTCAATCTTTGTCCATCAAAGTTTGTGCATATTCCAAGTTTATTAGATTGGAAGACCTGACATGAATGAACTTACAAGATTAGCAAAAGGTCGCAGTGTGTTGGAGCCTTAGACTCGGGCTGCCATAGACTGCAATTCCAGAGGAACAGAACGCAGAATAATACACAGCTGGAAACCACGAGCTTGAAAACAGTGGTTTTTAACCCTGGTAACCATATGCAGTTAGACCATTCACGGGATACAGCTCACTGATTTTTACAGGAAGAAAACCAGCAGAGCTGCGGTCCTGAGAAGACCTGAAAGAGGGCTGTGTACTGACCGTTTTCATCTGGCTCATACGTCTCGATGATTCTGTGC